TGATTGCGACAACAATTAAAAACAAATAAACTTGAAAACACTATTACAACTCAATAAACATATGAATGACACGAGGAATAAAAATAAAAATCTGACGGTAATCTAAATGTCGATTAAGTAAAAATTTCTATTTTCTATTCTTGATTTGAAACAGGAATGTTTTAATTGCACCTTCGACCGGAAGAATCATAACGTTTGAGTGTGGGAAGATCTCGTTTGTTCCGAGCAAACGGCGTCGGTGTCGGCGCCGCGTCTGTCGGGGGATGTGGGGGGATTGTATACCCCGCCTATAAAATACTCACCATTAACGTCGATTAAAAACACGCCGTTATTATGTTTAAATCGTCGCGATAAACGATCACATAAAACATATAACAATGATACAATTCTTCGGTAATTTACGAATAATATAATAATTGTTTTTGTTAAATAGTTTTAAGTAAATTAACCAGCTTAGTTATCTAGTTCAATTGTGTTGTGGTCGAGCGCAGTCGGCGACATCGTAGACATTAGATCTCATACCCTGACCTGATCGTATTTACCTGTCCGACCTCACACCTCGGTTGGACAGGGCGAGGACAAGTGAGTGGGCTAAACGGTAAATTGTTATTCATATAATGTCAAACGTTTTTACTGAAAATGTATTACTGTCTAACGACTGCAGCTCACCTTAATTATAGAATAATAGAACAAAATGAGGCAATTTTCTCGGCCAAATGAACCATTTAACGAGCGTATAACGAGGATTACAATCGGTCCATGATTATTTGTGACGAAAAACCGACGAAATGCAGTCAGTGAAGCGAGCGCGACCTGCGCAGGCGCTGCTAGCTGCTACGTCACAAAGCTTCGAAATGCCGCCGTAACGCCGCACTAATGCTAGTATTACACGCGGGCAGAAAATTAAAGCCAAATCAACGAAGTCAACATTATCAGTAATGCACTGCTTCATTATTCTGCTCTTGTGGGAAACTAGCATAATGTCATAATAGGACCCCTGCAACGTTAAACTGTTAAATAGAACTGGACTCTAAGTTGGTTTTGTATTTTTTCTAACATCTACCGACTAATTAGTTAACTGAGCTTTTAAGACTATCGGCTTGAACATTTTTAAAGATAAATTAGTAACATTATTTATGTTCTTTTAGCCCGTGTTATTTCCTTTGTCTGCTGTAGATATGTTGTCTCCAAATCTGTACATTGCTAAAGGAATCTCGTACGACGCGTGTCAGTTACTTCTTTGGCAGTCATGCACGTGTTTAAATGTACTTAATTATGTATTATTAAGAGATAAAAACATAAGAAACGGTTATTTGTCGAAAATGAGCGTCCGCGTAATGAGCGTATGGACAAAAACTATACATAATTATATATGTTGATTCAATGGAATGCTTAAAAAAAAGAAAAAGTGTCTGGTTGTAACTGTATAACCTGACTTTTCTTTATGGAATCGATCTCAGGACTGTATTTTTTTCGATCAGATTTCTTACATAACTCATTTTCTACCCAAATCAGACAGTTAAATAAAAAGCAACCTATGCAGCTGTTAACACAAGAACAATCTGAGCACGCAACAGAACACAGAGACGACACATGAAGCAGGCAAGTGGCAGCGGCAGCGACTGTTGCCGCTGTTCTAATTACCATACGCACAGAAAGAATAATATCCTCCTTTGTTGCAGCAAACCTTGGAGACGGGCGGGGTCGTCGACCTCGACACTCTGGAGGCGAAGGTCGGTGAACTGGCGCCCAATGCCTGTCTTACTTCTACTATTTACTGTTAAAAAAAACTATTGCCTCTCTAACATTTTCGCACATCATTGTCGTTAGTAATTGGTGATAAGAAATATTTACGACAAGCAGTCCTTCTTCGTTCAAAGTAATCAATAAAGAGTCATGTTCTAGCATAAACTATCGTTTGATATCCGAGACTGGTTGCTCTGTAAAATATGGCAACGAATAACTAATTTGTGAGCAACTGGCAACATTTTATAAAACGTTGATAAAGCGGTTTATTAACCGTACATTATTCTAAGAGAATATATCGCGGTAAATATGGAAAACTTGAAAATGGCAACATTGTCGGGTTCATTTGCATTTACAAAGTCTATTAATGATTTCTTTTAAGTAGAAACCTGAAAAAGTTTTTATTTTACATCTATGACTACAAACCGAAGTAAATTGCTTAATTTTATTGATTTAACTCAATTCCCAATTCTGTTGCGGTTCTTTTTAAGTATATTAGAAATAAAAATTCACTATTAAATTAAATTTGTTAGCAATAAATCTAGTAATTACAAGCTAACAAATCTCTACGGGAGCTCCCTTATCTAGATCATTTGCATACAACTTTACATTTTCTCATACAGCACTGTACTTATATGTATGGTTGCATATGCAAATCTATCTGTTCATAATCGAAACAGATATAAAAACTTGTTATTGAAATATTTTACAAACATTTTTACCTCTTTATCTGTTGGTACAATAACCTCTAGTTGTTTCCACTTCAAAGATCGACCGTCAGATCATTTATATGCTAGAAATAAGATTAAATATTATTTTACATAATATGAACATTAAAAGTAAATTAAAAAAAAATCACATAATTTTAAGGGCACTTTGATCTTATTTCTTTTGAAACTTTACGGCTGACATGAAATCTTTAGTATATTAGTCGACGCATAGATAAATCGTTTTTGTGTTTTTTTTACATAAACCAACAAAAATATATGATCTCTTTATACTATAATAATTAGTGAAAGTCTCTGTGACATTTAAAGTATCAATTATAATAGCAATTAATATAATTCGCGACTTTCATATTGGATAGATTCGTTTTTGGATGAGACCTTTAATATACTATTATCCATGTAAATTAAATGTATTTTAAATTCATTTATAAGGCCTTAAAGTTAATGATATTCGTAATCTGCTCTGACAAGTTATAATTAGGGCATGAAATTAAACAAGAATAATTTTATGCACATGCAGTAGTAATTAAAGTAACTGTTAAACAGTTACTGTATTTTAACGGACAATCGTAAATGAATAGTTTAACTTTAAACTTAATTTTAATGTTAACTTCTATGTAGTCCATTTCGTTAAACAATATATTAAGCAATAAAATACATATTTAATAGCATATGTTTATAAGAGTGTAGTAAAATGTGGTTAAAATTGAAAATCACATGAATATATGGAATCTGTTCTTTCCTTTAAGAACAAGATTTACAGCCAGAAAAACAAACGCGGCGTCTTCTAAGTTGCTTTATCTGGACTTGTATAGGTTTTTTCTAGTATGAAGCAGAGGTCCTTGATCGTATAACATGAACTAAGTGTTTAAATTAAGCAACAAGCAAAGGTAACAAGGATAACTTACAAGGAATTACTTTTTAATGCCTGTATTATAAACGAATTTAACGATAAAAAGTTATTTCTGGTACATAAGACTTCTTTTTGTTCAATATTACTATTAAAATATTAAAATTAGTCTAAGATATAAATAGTCTAGACTGTGGTATAAATAGTAGTAAAATATATCTAATTTTGAATTCGTCAACTTCGAATGCTACTTAGTTATATAGTTTCCTACGTTTTAATGTCGTATATGAGTCAAGTGCGGTGAAGTGGCGGCGTCACCTTGCGCGCGCGCTGCCGAGCGGAACGGAGCGTGGCGGCAGGAAGCGACGCTAACGATCTCCCAAGCCCAAGCCCACGCGCTGGCCCACGAACATTGGCCCACGTTCACTGGCCCACGATCATTGAGCAGTGAACTGGCCCGCTGGGTGTAGTGTGGCGCACTCTAGCGTAATCTAGATGAATCGAGAGATGTGTTGTTACACTTGAATTTCATTTCTGACTTTCCAATATGATCACTGATTGAAAATAAAATAAGCTTTAATTACTGATAATGAGTTGGCATAACGCCTGTGTTCCAGTTAAGTATTTTCTCAACTTTGGCCTTTTATTTATGGTATTATTGTCTTGTTTTAAATAATCTTATACTAAAACTTTCATTAATGAACGTTATAAGTTATTCAAATCAGTTAACACGAAGGGAATTTGATCTGTGTACCACAAGAGTAATAAACGTGAAATATACTTGAACACAAACTTCAAAGATAAATCGTCTGAGCCACACCAAAGTTTTTTTTGTCGGTAGTCACTTGGAGGCTACCGTTTGAGATTTCTCATAAACCGTACAGTGGTCAGGTCATAAACCAGCCGATACTCTGCGCATGCGCAGCGCCTCCACACCCCATCATTATTTAAGCCTCTACACAGGAAGCCGTAAATCCAATGATTTCGATTTGTTTACTCATAAGTGGAGTTTTTTTAAATTTATGTAGTGGCTATTACAAGTTAGCTTTCTTTTTCATATTCGACATTTTTTGTTATGATTTAATACTCTACACTTCATTTACTATTACAAACATACTTAATAGCGACATAAACTAAGTAAAACCCGATAAATATAGCATTAAATCTCGGTAACTTGTAACTCCGGATACACATTTGAGCATTATTTAATAAGTTCGTTCTCTCTGTAACGACTTAATGTGTGGAATGAAGGAGAGATGTAGAGATAGCTGTGAATTAATTGAACATACATCAAGCTTACGTCAGATGCGCCGCGATAGGGGCCGCAACACCGACCGGCCGGCCAGGGCTGCCCGACCGGTCGGACGCACGGCTCGTAAAAATAACGGTTTCTAAAATAAATCTATTGTGACGTGAAACTGGCATTTAAATGTTAATATATCATTTGGTAGCATGAATGTAATCCGTTGCATAACAGTATCCCTCGGTCAACAATACTTATCAGTTTTAGTTGTAAACGGTTTTATAACAAACTTATTTATTAACCCTTTCAAAGCGCTTTAAATCGTTAATAGACTTAATAATAACAAAATTAAAGTTAAATAAAAAAATTATGTATCTTTAGATTTAGAATAAAATGTAATTTATAGGATGTGTTTTTAACTTGTATTTTAAATTATTGTTAAGAAATATTTCGCTCCGCAGCCCTGGCTGTAAGCGCTCTAGACTAGGGCTACTATTATCAGCTATTTATCACGAAGAATAGACACCCAGCGACATCTAGCGACATGCGGCGTTAACAATTACCAAGATGAAGTAATAAATTGCCACCTACTTGTTACCTATATAGTTAAGTATAGTATAGTTAACACACCATATTACGTTTAATTATAAAAAAATCCCCTCCTCGCTACTTTCCTAAGAAACAATTCATCTAAGAAAGAATTCCGATTCAAGTTTATTTATCAGTGTTTATTAGAATTTTTTTTATGAAAACAGGATGTAAAATTTAACACCATAAAGAACTTTGTAGTGTATTTTGTTTTTTTTTTATGTTAATTTTTGGTATTTCGCTTTGAAGTTCAAGTGGCAGTGCATTTTACAAACAAATGTCGATGACCAGCGCTCAGGAGCGAGGTGCTTGCGCTCGCAAATGTTGTTACATAAATGACCGCTCGTTAAACTCGACAACATTAAACGTTTTCTAATAATTAATAACATAATAACATACAATTTCGCTGTCGAGAGCACCGCACAGCGCATACTATTCCATTCATCTGCCATCTCTGCTATCTCGTTATTACGAATTGAAATTCTTTACTTAACTTACTACACACTTACACAATACTGAATGCATGTGATTTGTCTAAAAACTTGTAAGAGATAATTAACTAACTTCAACGCCAGCTTGTTAATTGTTTTTAGCTAATTATTTAGCTTTAATTTTAACAATTAAAAATACATACCTGATAAATGTGTTGTGTTTAGATGGCGAGCATCGAGGTGTCGCTGGCGGGGTGCGGGCGGCGCGGGGGCGCGCGCGAATTGGACGCCCTGCGCGCCGCGCTACTGGATAAGGATACACTTATACAGAAGTAAGACATGTCCCACTCACTGTTCGCGCCTTTACATTATGATATACATTCAAACGACGACAGAACATTCTCTAGCAATTCGATAATCTTTTGCCTAACATTTTTATTAATCCAATTAGCCTTAAGAAGCAGCTAAGCGCGTCGCTCAGCGCAGCGCGGCTAGCGGCACAGGCGGCGTCGCCGGCGGGTCCGCGGGGCGCACGGGCGTCGCGGGGTGGACGCGAAGAGCCCGCTGCGTTGTCAGCAGAGGAGCGGCGCGCACTGGAGGACCGAGCCGCAGCGCTCAACGCTGACCTGCAGACGCGTCGTGACAACATTCAAGAGCTCAGGAAACGGCTCGAGCACACACATGTCACCGAGTAAGGGATTTTTAACCTGTTATCAGTGGTAAAGCCAAGTAGAGATAAGTCGTTGGCTACAGATTAGTTTTAGGAGTAGTAACAACAGACGTTGGCTGCAGTACACTGTGGTGACGGTGTGACATGAGTGGTTGTTGGTGTCAGGAGTATCGACTCGCGCATCGAGCAGGCGGAGCTGCAGTACCGGTTGGGGCGCGAGGAGCTGGAGCTGCTGTCGCTAGGCGAGCAGGCGCGCGCGCTTGCACTCCTCATCGAGCACGCCAGCGCCGCCGCACGGCACGACAACACACTATACAGGTAACAAACACCACCAAATACTTCCTTCGTAGATATTTATTTCGCATACAAAGTTTTAGTGATGAGTTATATAAAGTAAAACAACTTTAGGAATTTACAAAACAGACGTTTTCAATTAAAAAAAACTAACATTGAATGATTTAACAAAGGAGCGGTATCGGAGCGATCAGTAGAAACAATTACACACTAATCTGTTGTCTGGACGCACGGCTCCATTGAAACTCATCCGATAAGCATCGTGTGAAGATGTGCCCGCTATGGAAAGCGGGCCGTTACGAGGGTTGCCAAACGCTACATAAGATAACCATGAACATTTCCTCCTCAGTGGTCTTCTTTCCATTGTTATCGTATATCGTATCCAGAAGTCTTTTTACTATTTGTTCGCTAGATAGCAGTGGTCATTTACCATTAGGTGGTCCGCTTGTTACTGCCAATATAACGTGGCTCAAAATTTCTAGGTTGTCTAATTTTAACGGGTACCCCTAGTAAGGTTTGATTAGAATCTTAACATAGTGTGAAGGGGGTGGAGTAGCGATGCTGCGCAGATGCAGTGATAGAGCACAACAAATCGCCTTCTGACGTATGTTACGACAGCGACCATTGTTGTACCGTGGGGGCGGGGGCGAAGGCGAGGGCAGACTTTCTACAGCGGACTATCGATGGGAATCATCTTCCCGAATACAGGTCAATCTGTCGATAGAAAGTACTTCGGATAAACTGCTCGAATCTTAATCATCGAGACAATGTAATCACTGCTACAAAAAAAAGTTATTTTTAATGGTATTTCTTCCAAGTCACACTATTGTTATATCGAAAGTGCTGGCACCTTAAAATCTCAGCATATCAAATAAATCTTAAAACACCCTTCAAACTTATTATTAAACTATTGTCTCTCAAGCCATACACTCAAAGGATATTAAATTACATTAGCATAATAGGCGCCATAATGCGTCATTTGCTAAATGTGCTCTCTAATGAAGATCGCTGTACATTACGCGCCGGATACGACAAAGCAGACGTGGACTTCGCCGCAGCGTTCGCTGGAACACTCCCACGCCATTACGTCGAGAAAAATGACTGTCATCAGTAATCACTTAATCACCCTTAAGCTTATGAGCCATAAAATGCCGTAGTACTTCACTTTGATCAAAATTAATTTTAATATAAAAAAAAATATTTTCTGAAAAAAATTGTAAAGGGATACAAGGTGTTCAGCAAATTAATGAAAATAAGTACATAAAAAAAACTGCAAAATTACATTTTATGTTCCCAGTTACTTAAGTACTTGATGCCGTCGACAGTTTGAACACCGGGTGCGAATAACGAGGTGTTTTTTGACAAATGATCAATTATCGCTGCTTACCCATGTTACATCAGTAAGCTAATGAGATGTTGGGTTGATACACGGAAAATTCTCAAGAAATCTTAAGTACCTTTGTAACGTTCATTAAATTTATCATAGTTCTGATAATCATAACCTTAAAACTTGCTGCAATAATAAAAAATACTTATGCAATAAAATGGATAACAATAAGTTTTGCAATAATTTTATTAATTATTTTTAAATCAAGATAAATGTGTGGGAAATATATTTCATTGTGTGGTCAGACGGTGGTTTAAAAAGAGTAAAGATTCGACAGTGAAAGTGTGATTTGTGAAGTCATTGGGGGCGGGTCGCGAACCTCGCGGCTCAGCGGTTACAATGCTACTTTTACTGCGCAGTCTAGCTTTCAATTCTCAACCATAAGTGTAATTATAATTTGAATATGCTAAGCAAACTGCCTAGAAACAAGTTGTCTAAGAATCAGGCAAGATAAACATATAAGTAATAAAAGATTATAATATAGAAAAATGTACTAAAGTTTTCCTTACAAAGAGTAAATTTAAGCCAATTTACAAAAAAAAATACTTGCGTAACACTTAACCATTATTTTAATTGTAATTGATATCTGAAGTATCGGCACTTACTTTCCTAGTGACGCCTTAAATATACATCTTTGAATAAAGAAAACACTATTTTAATTCTACAGTACATTGTAAAATCAACTTTAAAACGTGACAAATACGATATCAATACCAATGTATAGCGTCTGTTCCTTAAGGAAGATGAGTAGCTCGTGCTCGAGCGCAGGCTTTACCTCTTGTGGCACTCGTATGGATAAATCAATGGGTACTATGTCTGGGTTCGATTGCAAATCGCTTATAAATAATGCATCTATCGTATACCTTTAGCTGAAGATGGATGTGGACGGTGTGGTAAAACCTTCTTTTAAAATAACCTACAATATATAAACTAGTCATTTTAAAGCATTTAAATTAAAAGCAGAAAGAACATTCTGATTTCGGTATAAATTAGATATAATATGAACACATCAGGAGCAATAATTAAGACATTTTTCCATCGTATTAAATTTCTCTATATACGAGAATTATTGAAACCATTAATGTACCTAATGTACCAATGAATAAACTTTAAACAACAATAACATGGCAGTGTAGCGCCGGCATCCGACGGGCGCAGTGACTATGACACAGGTTCACAGTAATCATTTGCATGAACTTTGCACACCCACGCCCACATCGCCCCTTACATATATATACTAATAGTTGTGTAACAAAGTGTAGCTTGTAGCAAGTATTATATTATTTATGTTTTGAACATTACTTGCTTTTGCAATATTGCAATCGAATACATTCAGACACCTACTGACGATGTATATCGTAGAAAACACTTTGGAATACTATACTATTGTGGGAGTCACAGCCGGAGAATACTTTTTCAAATAAATCATAGTCTTCTTTAACTCATATATTCCTTTTAGAATTGTAAACAACAACTTTTTCAAAAACACCGTTGTTACATTGTCTTTTTCATTTCCCGAATGCCAGAAAAACATGGCCGTCATCCAGACGAGCAATTACAATACTTTTAATTTACGATAACGAAATACCGTCAGATAATTAACAGGATAAGTTGAATACTTCTATTTTATATTTGAGAATCAAATATTTAAATAATCTTTTGGATCGTAATACAAATGATTAATGTTGTTATATTAAGTAAACAAAAGTGTTATTGACTTATAGCATAGACTAAATAACGTTTTAGGTTAAGGAATTACAGAATATATAAAATGGCTTACACTATACTAATTTTCTTTATGTCAAAAATATATATGTTTAAGATGTTATAATAATAATAAGCACATCTTATTTATTAAGAAGGCAAACGCTTAATTTCAAAGTATTTATGACTAGAGATTGTAGTTACAAATGTATTTGTTGTAATTCTGACAATATAATTAATATAATACCATTACATTTACTCGTTTAAATAAACTCACAAAGTTTCAACACCAGCTGCTTGATTTCACTTTCATCGTATGCGAGAAAAATTGCAAACACCATAACAATGTTTAGGATTCTACAATCGAACGCTAGTTTACATAAACTCTAGATGCATACAAACAATTTTTACAACTAAGTAGAAGGATTTAACATAATCGGCTACATTTCTCAACAACAAAGTGTAGCCAGTGGTAGTTATGCAAAAATTGCAAGTAAAACATAAGAATCATCCTGTAGAAATAAACAACAATGGCAATAAAAGGCGCCATAGAATCGCGGGGCGTGGGTGTCGACGCCGCGACCTTTCGCGCCTTAGGTAACCATGATGCTATTCCTTGGTGTTAATGTGAATACTGAATATAATTAAATCGTTCATACGTTTGTCTTTCTTTATTTTTCTCGTACATGATTTATTTTACTAAAAGCGTGATCGTGAGTAAGACCTTATTCCTTGTTGCAAAAATTGTGCAAACAATGAAACCGGTTAGTTTGATCGCTGTTTAGTTAAATACATCTAGACTTGCGCGCCCCGAATCTGTCTCTGACACTAATACCGACAATACACTCACTTTTATGTCATAAATGAGCTTTCATTTATTATACGAGCTGAAGGGCTAACTGCATAACGCAAGACGTCACACTCGTATAATAAATTACTATAAAAAATTATTCGGAAATTCCTAGATCAAAATGCAAATTAATTTAACTTATTAAGACTAATTTGTGTAATCGAATTTCATCTACCGAGTTTCGTCTTGCACAATTTTCATAATATTAATGAATATTGTATATGTTCTTAGATGATATTTCCTTTTTTGACGCGACCAATTCGTGGTAGTGCTGATATACTACGCGTAAGTAATCACAATTTCAACACTCACCATTGTAATGAATAATTTAAGTAGTATGACATTAAAAGCACAGTGATAATTAAACCAGTAATTCCTCAGAAAAAAGATTTAAATTATAGCTTTTTATTTTAATTTTAAACACACAATAAAGTTTAAAGAAAATGACTTGTTAACTATCAATAAAACTTAGTTGATTATGCAGGTCAAGAATCAATATTAATAGCACGGCAGAAGCGTGGCCACCGCGCGGTCACTGCTCTTGCGGCCTGACTCGCGACTCGCGACGCTCTACAGCACACCGAGCACAACACACTCCTGATACATGAGCCTATCTACTAGACCTAGCCACTATCCTTAGGGACATTATATCTTTAATCTAAGTCCAACTAAAAGCGTACAACGTTATTTAACATTGGTAATATCCTAACTGATAGAGTCAGACGATATTCCTCACTCTGTATATTCCAAAGTGTAAATTGGATTTCTTATAATTTGGTGTTAGAAGAACGCAATATAATCATTGAAGGTAAAACAAAGAGAGCACATTCATGAAAGTTAAACTGTATCAAAAAAATCTTAAACTCGATAAAAATTATACTAAAAAATTTCGATATTTATAAATAAGGATAGATAGTAAGCTTGCTGTTTTACCTTTTATAGATCATCCGAAAAATGGTAACTTGTTGGATAATTGGCATTCCAATCACCTGTAATAGATATCTTTACGACGTTACGTCTTGTACATAGTTGAAGTTACCTGAATACTTTATAATAAGGAAGTGCAAAGTAGTTTATGACGGTGAACTTGCTTACGACTGCTGGGACGGCGGCTGCCGACAGTAAACAGTATTAAAATAATTAAACACTACTGTACGTCGGTAACTCTAAATGTTAGACTTTGATATGTCTCTCACGAACTACTTAAGTATAAGTCTCATATAGTCACAAACCACAAAACAAAACATTAAACGCTGTTGGTTTAATTTTACTTTGTTATAATTCCTAGTTTGAAAGGAAATAAGCCTGTAAGAATCTGATTTTCGAAGCCGATACATATTAACACATTTCATCGTTCCCGTGTCCAGTTCATTGTCATCCATTATTTTTAGTTTTAAATAAACATTAGGAAATTACCTTTATCTTCTCAATTTTAAAGTTATTGTCAGTTACCTAGCTAAAATGTTATATTTCAGTGTGGTGGAGGAGTGCGGCGGTCGGGCGCTGTTGGTGTGTGCGGAGGAGGGCACTGGGAGCGCGAGGTGGGGTGCAGAGGCGCGCGGGGCAGGGCTGGCCGTGCGCTGGGCCGAGGAGCACTCGCCGCTCAGACCGGGAGACAGGTGTGATGATACTATGAACATCTTAAGTATTATATGCCCTAACATTTTAAAATAGAAATGTACAATTACAATATCGTAAAAGCTGCATTCATTTCTTTGTTAATAGTAACGTCTCATAGTCCTTAAATTATTGAAGTTGAACAGGAGTGACTATAAAAAATTTGCTCCTACTTGTAACGTTAAAAATAGAGCAAGAACCCGGAACGCAAGCGCGGGTAATAAAATTGGCGATGTCGGCCGCGATAGAGCCGTACGTGGCGCAAGTGACCCAACGTGACCCGGCGCCGGCGCCGACGTGCTGCCCCGTACTGCTAACAGAACAGATAGCGCCCCTTCGCTTCGTTAGTTGCAACCTGATGGGTCACGATATAAACAAGCTACGAGTAGAACCTGAACAAGTTATTTATTTGGTCAGCCTTAGTACGTATTTATTACAAAAAAAATATAACGATTCATGAAACCAAAGTGGTGATAGGGACAAATTAAGATACTTCCATAATCATTCAAAGATTCCATACGGAATCGTTACCGCTAAATAAAATATTGTTTTATATTTCGTGTAGGTTAATAGAAGTTAACGGCACGTCGATGGTGAGCTGCAGCAGTGAGGAGGAGCTGCAGCGCGCGCTGTCCGCCGCCCGCCCCGCGCGCCTCCTGCTGCTGCGCGACCAGCGCCCTGCGCACCCCCTACACTCCCCACACGGTCCACCGCCGTCCAACACATTCACACATGTCAGTACTTCTCATTTTAACTTACAGATATAATATTTTTATATCGAGTCCTCTTTAAACGGTGGTATCATAAACAAAGAGCGAAGCGGCGGCACTGCGGTCGGAGTTGGGCGCGCTACGGACGGCGGCAGAGCAGGCGGAGCGCGCCAAGGAGGGTCTGCGAGCCGATAACACGCGCCTCACGCACCGAATCTCCTATCTCGAGGATCAGGTAGCCGAGCTGCTCTCCAGGCACGCGCAGGTGCGCTCAACAATTCTATTTTTTATAAATCAATTTATCAAACAATATCTCAAAGGCTCATACACGTATATCCAATTATATCTAATTCATTAATAAACAAACAATTTTACAGTTGCACCCGGTGAGCAGTAGCGAAAGCTGCATCACAGTCAACAAGACGAAGAAAAACGTGACGAACATCAACATAACGACGGAGCCACAGCAGCCGAGCAGGCCGAGCCCAAAGTCCGAGGTGCAGGTGTTCCAGAAGGGTCCCGACATCACGGCCATCGTGGCCAAGCTACCCGGTCTGGACGCCTCCGAGGTCGACCTCCCCGTACTGCGGCCGCGTTCCAACGCCTCGGGCGCCTCTTCGCGTGCCGCCGTCTCGCCGCGCGCCTCGCCCGCGCCGCAGCGTCGCGCACATAGCTCGCACGGACCAGAGTCTCGCACGGGCCGCGTCCGACACTCCATCTCGCACCATTGCATACACGCCGCCGTCGACTACGGCGCAGAGACCGACGCAGCCATTCGCATGATCGAACGAAACCAAAGACACATGGAGAAGCAGCGAATGAAAAACGAAAGATTCAATAAATCGCAGACCGAGGACCGTTTCAGATCCGACAGCGACTTAGACGGCAAAGACTCGCATTCGACCGGTCGCTCCTGCGAACCGAAACATTACGAGATCAAAAAGGCTGCCGACAGAATAGAAGAAAGCATAAAGAAGACTAACTGGGCGGAGAGAAAAACTCTATCCATCATAGAACAGCTGAAAAAATCGCAGCGGCTGCGCAAAATGAAAAAGAACGACAGCTCCGAAGATATTCAGCTCGAGTCGGACAGGCATTATACGTACCACCGGATCGACGGCAAGGTACTCGAGAACGCGCACAAGTCTAGTCGTAGGTCATCGAAAGTACACTGCCGAAGCGCAAAATCCTCGGAGTTCGAGTCGGAGTGCTCCGATTTTCCGAACGGGGATATGTACAGCAGCTCGCCGAGACTGGACTATGGATCGGAGAGCTGCTCGACGCGGACGAGCCACAACAAGCGGGGAGAGGAGAGGCGCGAGGACGGCAGGTCGCGGCCGACGCCGCCGCGCAAGCCGCTGCGCCTCTCGCTGCACAAGGCACGCAGCGCGCACTCCATTCTCAACGGTAGCGAGTCCGAGACTCCGAGCAGGCCACCCTCGGAGACGCGCACCGGCGACGGCGGGCCGGACTCGCCACACAAGCGGCCCGTGAAGCGAACGTACGCGGCGGACCGGTGGGCTCGCGAGAAGATCCGGGACCCGTCGCGCGCCACGCCGCGCCCGCAGCGCAAGCTTCTTCACGGGTTAAGCGCATGCGAGGCGCCAGCCGCCGACGACCTGTACCCGCAGTCCATGCACGCACCCGGCTCCGCGCCGCCACGACATAACGGCCTCGCGCACGCGGGCAAGTGGTGCTAGCGCCTCGCTCCACATAGATTTCGTAACAATGGACCATAGAAATTGAATCACATTATCTTTTTATATTTGTCAGTTGTAATAAATTCAATTAAAACGATAAACTCTCAAGGAATTTATGTCTGCCTATGTGAAATAGGAACAAAAGTTGAGTACATCTCATTCTCGATGTCATTGGGACTCTTCTGATGTGTTATCGTTGCAAAAGGTGTACAAAATCTTGCCCCAAATATTTAAAATGTATTATATAAGTTAGCTACCTCCGGTTTAAATAATTGTGACTGTAAGGACACGGAAGGATTCCTCGATTGTCGATACTCATTGCCAGTAATAAACATTCCATCACTTGTTAAAATATTAAGAGAATTTCTGTACATATCTTTATTAATGATAAGGCCCACCGTTAAATACTCACCTGTATGTAAACTTTATTTATATTAAGAAATTAAATAATTTCCAACAAAAATGTCAGTTGTTTTATTTTTTTCTTTTGCACACATTAATAATGTTCATGGTATTTCCATTTGTCATTGTTGAAATGTCAAATAAAACAGCATTCCATAATAAAGTTGGATATTTATTAGCAACAAAACAAATTACATTTTATAATATTTACAGGAATAACGGAACGTGTAATGATTACAATATAATAAGATAAAAAAGGGGAGGGGATGGGTCCTTAACATCTTGAAGTACACCCTGACTATGTTTCGCGCTAACACTTACAAAGTCCTGCACAGCACCAATTCTTGTCTGTTCACAGACATATTTAGTGGTAAATCTTATACATTTGCATAAAATTGCTTAACAACACAAATAATTTTAACTGTAATCTGTAAACATACAATAAAACTGTCACAATATAATTCATTCATCAGTTCGCAGAACAAAATCCATGTGTTCCAAAATATTGTCCGAAACAAATCAAAAAATATTTTTAAAATGGTTTAAGAAAATTCATGTTTTTATCAATATTCCAAAAAAAAAAAAATTACACAATTCCACTCTACATTTTATGGCCTTACATATGAAACAAGAAAAGAAATTTATAAACTCTACGATATTAAAACAATAGAGACAATCAGTCTTACTAAAAGTAACCTTTTCAATCGCTATGCTGTCTGCCGGACAAACATTAGCAATATCTAACTAAATAACCGTAGATTTACACTGCTCAAACACTCATACAAAAATATCTTTCCACTCATTCAATATAATTTATAACAGGTATTCGGGCAGTGGATACCCACACTAACTATTTAATATCTATATCAACCATTTAAACATATTCAAACCCGTACTGCAAACATAGCCAGAGATTACCAATTCACCACAAAGCTGGCACACCTCTGTCTCTTCACATCCATACATACTCTTCAGTTACGGGGACCTTCATCTTCTGTTCTTTTTGTGACTAATCTAAATTTATAAGGTAAATACATCTATTTGGTAAGTAAAATAATAAAAAGACATAATTATTGCTTTAAAACAGGCACATTCGGCTGCTGTACTGTACTCTTGTCTCACTTTATTGACTCAATAATGAAACAATAATGTCTTAAAACTTTTCATATCTATATTATTGATTCCTCTTCGCTATATCAAATATAATAAATCGTAACAAACCTTAAACATTTTATATATTTATAGATAATATTTACATTTAATATAACTTTCAGAATTAATTGATAATAATATTTGATCAAGTTTAATATTTGCTGAGAGTGATATCAATGCAAACTAATGAATGTTAGTCAGGTGCAACAAACCTTTTTACACTATATAATATTATATCTTTTCTTTTAAAATTTTAGCTTACATTATTATTTTGCAACTCTGTAACATAACCTCACAAAGTTGACTCAGAGGGGTAGGCAGAGATGGTACAATTCCATTTGGTATCTATGAACATTTCTCGAAAAGCTCACTTCCATGATTTCTTAAATATTTTATTTGCTAACTCTAACATCCTACGTATGGCAGTTAAATTCTATAAAAGCATCATTAAAATTTACATATTATGGTTTTTAATTACCTCACGCCTTAGTCTTGCTATATTGTTGGTGATCCCTGCACGCAAATTGCGTTATTACAGTTTTAATTCAAAGTACTGGTTTATTTAGTTATTATTTGTCATGGCTACAGTTCCTAATAATAGCGGAATAGGTAACTTTGAGTTTGTCGTAGCGGCCAATCTTATGATACATTGCAAATTACAGTTACTTCAGGGTCCGGTTCCATTGTTTTTCGGCTCGCCATTGATGATATGACGTGTTTGAGAACATATTCCAATGTTATAATACAACTAGATGTTATAGTTTTTAGTACCCACACTGTGGTCTACAATGTTTATGCACTTTCTTTTCTATTATTTTTTGCTTTCTAGAACTAAGTTTTTCATCGTACAGATGTTTGTGACTCGGCGAGTGGGGTGTGTTGGGGCGTGTTGGGGGCGTGTTGTGGGCGTGTTGTGGGCGAGTGGGGGGCGGCGGTGGGGGCGGGCAGTCTAGACGGGCAGAGCGCGGCCCCAGTTGACGTAGATCTTGAGCTGCTGTGGCAGCGGCAGGTTGTTGATGGCGTGGCGCAGCAGACGAGCGCGGCGGTGGCGGCGCACATCGCTCGCCGCGCCCTCTGCGGCCACTCCGCCCGCTCTGCGCGCCGCCCGCCGCCGCAGCTCGCCCTCAAACTCCGAGGACTCCTCCTCCGTGGAGGATGAGGGCGCCAGCGTGCGCAGCCGCTTCTGACGGCGACGACCTGGTCGACACGCCACTAACGGTCAGAATAGAACTCGCGTGGGAGTGATGTATATGACATATATACTGTCTAAAGTTTTCGCATAATGGAACAAATCAAAAACGGTTTCAATTTGGGGTCTTTTTAGAACGTATCTGGTGATGCTGACGTCCAAGGGTTTAGAAGAATGTAAAACATTAGGCGACCGCCTCGTTTACCCCTTCTATAAATAGAAAATTATTTTAATTGTAGAGGACTGTTCTGTGAAAAAATAAAATAGTGCTAACCGTCTGCGAGCGGAGGCTCGGTGTCGTCGGAGGCCTCCCCGGTGTCGGAGGCGGCGCTGCGCTCGGTTTTCCCCTGCGAGGAGCTGGAGGGGGAGTTGCCCTCGCCGATGCCGCTGTCCAGCTTCTGTCGCTTCTCCTCGGAGCCCTTGGAGGCGGACTCGGTGTCATCGTCGCTGGAAGGCTCGCGGCGACTCGCCGTGCGCGATTCCTCCCACTTCATGTCGGAGGCGGACAGGCCTCGCTGATGCTCCGCGTCCTCCAAGTGGAGGTCGACGTCGGCGGGCGTTTGGCGGGCGGCGGGACGGGGCGGCGGCGTAGGCGGGGTCTCGCCTACATCCGCCACGTCGTCGTAAAACTCTACGTCTACGGGGAACTGGGACGAGGCGTCCCGTCGCCCCCTCGGCGCTCCCGCGTTCCCGATGGAATTCCGAGAGCCTACCCGTATTCTATTTTGCGGGGCGCGAGAGTTTTCGGCGGCGGGCTCCCACTCCGACTCCGACTCGGTGCTGTCGTCGGTGGAGGAGGCGGAGTTCGAGTTGTCGGAGACGGGGTCGAAGCGCAGCGCGCCGGCCACCCGGTTCTCGCCCATGCTGAGCACGAGACTGAGCAGGGCGTTCATTTCGTTGGCGCCATCCTCGCGTCCCAGGTCGTGAAGCGCGTTAAAGTTATCTGTGACACAGTATTAGGATTACAATCGAGGAGGGTCGCTGCGAGAGCGAGAGCGAGAGGGAGAGCGAGAGCGGAGAGGACGGGGCGCTACAGTAAAGTGAGACTCACGCACGCGATCCTCGCGAATAGGTATGCATAAGCGTCGCGGGCAGCGGCGTGCGTGTCGGGCGATGCGCGGGCGGCGGAGCGGCGGCATGCGCACCTCCTCGCGCAGCTCGGGGTGGCGGCTCAGCACGCCGCGGTGCAGCGCGCGCCGGATAGCGCCGCGCGACAGTACCTGCAGCGCGGGCGGCGCCTGCTCTTCTGCAACCATTGCATTATACATTTATGTTGCGAAAACGGAACCTTCAAAAATCCTTAATTTTTATAACATTAATTAGCACCGAACTCGGTTATACCTAGCGTGACCGTCTGTCGGGCGTGGGCGGCGTCGTCCTCGTTGGGCAGCTGCAGCGGCGCGAAGGAGACGTTGAGCAGGCTGCGGGTGGCCCACTCGCGAGCGCCCAGCCGCCGCACTTGCACCAGCGTATCGTTCAGCGGCATCACCAGGATGCCCCCGATCTTGGCACAAATCTCTCATTCACCTCCCGCCAAAACCAAGCGTTACACGGAAAATGGAAAAAATACAATTCGTTATTACGTTTTTCGCATTCGAAGTGCATTTCTGGTTACAATTTAGAAAGATGACATAATTTTTTTCCCCCATTTTTTCGTTCGTTTTTATGTTTGTACGTATGTAAATTCCATTGTGCCGGCCTAGAGCCTAAAACCGATTTTGAAAAATGAGGTTTCATTTAATTCACTTCTTCCTGCAATGTCGTAGTGTTATTGAAACATAACTTCTATGTTGGTGTTAAACTAGTTTGAATTTCACTCGACATCACTTTTCACGTACCTAAATCAATTTTTAAGTTTTTTCACTTTATTCTAAAATAATAAAGTATTTTATATAAAAATCATAGTATTTTAGTTAAAAATGAACATTTTAAAATGTTTGTTTTAAAAAGCACTCAACACATGGTGCTATTCACAAGAAGAAGACAATAGCTCATCTTATGACTGAACAAGATACAATCCTGGAATGTATACAATATTTTATACCCGTTTCATTCAACATCTACATATCTAAAATAAACAGTTATAATTTCTAGTAAGTTCAAAATACATAGGTTTTAACAAAACATTACCCTTATGAGCTGCTTCAAGTAGAGGGCATACTCTTCGGGGCAGGCGGCACCGCAGTAGACGCGATCATATGCGGCGGGCAGCGGGGCCAGGCACAGCCCATTGCCTAACCACAAAATGATCTATTTATTTATATCTCATATAACCACTACTTTATCACAACAACACATGTCTATAAACAACTCCATTTCTCACAATTTCCAAATGGAACGGCACACCCTACAATTCTCTTTCTCATTAATTTGTTCTATTTCAACAAATTATTGACTTCATTAAACTAATTGCCAGTCATCAAAAAAGTTTTTTACATCATGCTATATTACTTATGCTACTAATACTCACCATGGAAAAATTTTGGTTCACAGAAGTCAAAATCATCTAAAGAAGATGATCTTTCAATGAATCTTTTTTGCATCATGACTGCATAGTCCAGAACCTTGGGATATATTTCGACCCCGTGGCTGATGCCTCCGGAACCTAGCACCAGCCCAACCATGGTGCTCAGGTACCCGGTGCCAGAACCAATGTTCAGGAATGACTGTCCGGCTTTAAATTCCAGTCCCTCCATAACTTCACTGTTGGAGAGATGTGGTCATTATAAAAACAATTATACAGTAAACTATATCTTGGTGCCAATGTTTTTTACCCAACATGTAAATAAATACATTGTAATAAATCTATTATGATTGAAAAAATTTACAATGAAAAATGAAGTTTTCTTCACCATGGATGTTGACATTCACAATTACATAAACAATTCTTTGTATAACTTCAGTTACAATTTGCAGATTTTCTGGCTGATTGACAATAAAGCAAATCTAAGGACTCTTCCTAAAACAGAGAGTGCTGTTGTTAAGTGATTGACAATTCCAGATGGAAATGTTTACCCCCTGATTAAAACACCAATTTTTTTCTATTTTCGAATTTCATACCTACATTAATCTAGTGTTTTCACCATAAAGGAAAACACTGTGATGCAACCTGCATATATCGACGAAGTAATTAAAAGTTATGTGTGAAATCTACCAACTCGCAGTGGGCTATCGTGATTAACTATGTCCTAGTCACCCAAGACTTGGTAAGCTTCCAGTTCCTTTGTAAGGACATATGTGATTGGACCACGACAATGACATACCTGTATATACAGGGCGAAGACAAATGTAAAAATCCATTTCGCCAAGCAATATCCCTATAAGCCCTGTCTCTATCACCAGGAAGCATATAATTTCCTCTATCAACAGCTCTGAACACGCGTTCCACTTCTGGTGTCCGGATGTAACTCGCTTCCATCAGATTGTCCACCAACTCATTGTTATTACGTCCCGAGCTCACGGCACCACCCATATTGCTATTTTATCACTACAAGTTAACGTTAAAAAGACCTAGTCTTCAGCTGAGAGTACGTGACGTCACAGTTGTTTTTCCACATATTTTAATGCCCATCCTATTCAAAATGGGTCTCAGTAGAATGTGGCAAATTATGTCCTAGGAATTATATGCACATTTATCACTTATATATGTTTATGTGAACTTTTAATAAGGTTTACAAAAATGGAAACGCAAAACCACTTAATAAAACCAAACAGACAGATTGTTTTTTTTTAGCCACAGATGAAAGATGAAAGTGAACTTGCTTTTTGCTTGCAACCAGAGATGAACAAGGAACAAACATAAACTAAACCGAAGAGTCAAAGAGTAATACGATTTGTATTGTAATTCTTTTATGTTGTCATATACATTTAAGGCATCCGAACAAAAATGATGTACGTTTGGTCAATATAAGTAAATGATATGAATTGGGAATATCTACAAAAAAAATATGTATTTTGCAACGTGGCTAGAAATGCGAATGCGATTTGCGATGATTCGGCACTATTCTATAATCTACGGTAATATTGACAGATAGGGGGATAGGCGTCAAGTCGCAATTAAAATACGTGAAAGGGGATGTGATCCAGTTGTTTTTGAGTTAATTCAATAATTAGTTTTAGTTTGTTTTACAGTTAAATTTTTGTAGTAAATTCTAGTGCTTACAGTGATTGTTGCAAAGACTAAACAAAATTTTAGCACAGTGCGTTTACACAATCACTTAACATTACAGGGATACCTAAAATTGTGATTTGTTAGTGCCGTATATAATAATTGTGTGACGCAATAAGCAGTTCAAATTGTTTGTTGAAATGGCTGAGACAAGTGAAGCGCAGGCCAGTGCGTCAGCTCCCGGCGGAGATGGCAGCGAGGATGACAAACGTGATGAGCGAATGCTGGAGTGCAACATCTGCCTCGATACAGCTCGGGATGCCGTAGTCAGCATGTGTGGACACTTATTTTGGTACGAAGTTAATTAAGTGTTAAAAAAAAACATGATCAATACTTACAAAGTTCATAACACACATACAATCTGGTTACCTTTAACACTTGTTCAATTTCAAACAAAGTTATAAATGTTTGTTTTGCCCCATCGCCTTATCATTTTTCGTACCTCACCCAAGAGTTGGTCACATATCAATGAATCTTTTTGTTATGAAATGAAGATTAATGATGATAAGTATGAAGCATTGGTCACTAAACATTGCTTGAGTTACATGATTTTTGCCTTAGTTTATCATAAAATACAAAAATGTTGGCCATGTAAAGACTATTTCCAGTTTGGCTCCACTTTGCAGATGTCTGTTGTATACAAAAAAAATTGATAATAGTAAATTACAATTTTATTCTATTATTAGATGTCTTGATCCAACATGCTTAATTACAGTTAAACTCCATTTAAATGACCTCACACTTAAACACAATGATGAGACTTTTAAGTCTTTTTTGCTCCAAAGAACAATGCTATCAATATGTTCAACAATATTGTAGATAGCGCTGTATTTAATTATTATGTTACCTGCATTTACCCTTATTATATGATGTATTGCCACACACACCCAATACTGTTGTCATTATAGAGTCTAAATCTAGACCTTTTCCCCTTTCCACCATTACCTTATTAGAAAATTATGGGAAGAAGTGAATGTATGGGTGTAAAATAAGGCATTTTCACACTTTTTAACATGTATGGTCATAGTAATAAATTATTAGAACTTCTTGAAACATCTGAGGAATTGTAAAACAATATCATCGTTGGTAGATCCATCAAGAAGCCTGTGTCATAATAACTATTTATTGCAGCTGGCCCTGCCTGCACCAGTGGCTGGAGACACGGCCAAGCCGGCAAGTGTGCCCCGTGTGCAAGGCTGCAATCAGCAGGGATAAAGTCATACCCCTTTATGGCCGAGGGAACACCAAGCAGGAGGACCCTAGAAATAAGGTTGAACCTATTAATTATACACTAACAAATGAAAACTTAGAGTCTTTAAATTGTTACTTAAATTGATTCTTAATGTAGTTTTAGTATAATAAATTGACACTTAGTGACTGCTTAATTTATAATTGAACTGACCAATGATTTAGTAATAATGATAGTGCAGACCTTAAAAGCTAGGTCACCTTTTATTTGCATAACAAGTGACAAACAGTATTAATAAGTTAGGTATACAACACCCAATGAAAAATGCCTGTTTATTCTCACTTTACAAGGGCATTGTAAGGACAAACCTTTGTTTTTTTTATATTAAACATAAAAAAATGTATATTGATGTTCTGTTATCTGCAAGAGGTCGACTCACAATGTTTATGTATGAGAACAATAAATCTGGTATAAATAAATTGGTTTGAAATCATACAAAAACCTTTTTATATAATGATAATAATTTTTTTACATTACAATAGAGAGGCATACAATTACTCGGGTGGTTCAGTATTTCTTTGATGATAATTATTTGCAGTTTGTATTAGCAATTAGTGGAGACAGTTTATTAGTCAGCTATGTTATCAGGGAGGCAGGAACATAATATAACATTTTTCCCCTGTGTTGACCTCATCAGTTCAATGATCTCTCGCCCTTTGCTAGTAAACCAATATATTAACATATTCTATTGTCTTTTTATGAATGCCAGGTGTAATGACATTGTTTATGGATTATGGACATTTTGATTGTTTACACTGTTTATGTATTCATCATACTTAACACCTGAATATTGAATTAAATCTCAAATATAAATGGCCACTGAATATACATGTGGATGATTCACTTCAGTTTTAATAAATTACAAACATGCGATGTGTTTTATCTATGTTTTTATTCAAGAATACATAGTTAATTGGTCTTAAAATGTTTTGCTTTTGTAAACAATTAAAAATATGAAATCTTTCCATATATCTTGGCGACCCAAGGTCATCGGCGCGATGCGCAGTGCCCTCCGTTGCACCTAAGATTGTGTTTTGCGCAGCGGCTCGCGCGAAGTTAAGAACCGCCAAGAGTTCTGAATACAAGAAAAATTAAATTGTACCATTGATTTGGCTGGTAGAAATTTGAGTATTTATAGTAACCTTGATACCTTATCGTAAATTAAATTGTTTATCATGAAGTGTGCTATCTTATAAAAGCAATATGACGTAAGTCTGCGCATCTGCGGCAAAGTCTGACAAATTCCACATCTTTAGGCTTTATTTTTTTATGGGTTAACAAAAAAATACACAGATTACAGGTTCTCATTTAACTCGGTCCTGGGATACTTCTTTTGCTAATACGAGCATAACATTTGCACAGCTCATTGTATTTGTCGGATACAGTTATTAGTAATACCATAATAGCTTAGTATGTTATTTGTGCTGTGTGCATTGTGCAGGTGCCGCCGCGGCCGGCCGGGCAGCGCTCGGAGCCCGAGAGCGCGGGCGGCTTCCCGGGCTTCGGCTTCGGAGAGGGCTTCCACATGTCCTTCGGCATCGGCGCCTTCCCATTCGGCGTCTTCACTTCCACATTCAACTTTGGCGACCCGCGCCCCAGCCCAGGTCTGTTCTTACATTGCTAACAATACAAGGCTTTAAATATGCACCGCTATTTTCTTATAGTAGACCTTAGCAAACAAACAAGTGATAGGTGACCTTAAATCGACGACTTTGTTCAAAGAAATCCGCAATAAATTAAAAGTTTACAGATGCGTTGCCTAATTGTTAAACATACAGATGACGAAGAGTGAAATAACTCGTAGAATGGGACTCTCGTGGACACCTAATATATATAGTTTAGTTCGATTTGGTTTACTTACTTGTCAATAATAATTTCTTCTATTAATAAATTATAATGTTTATATCTTGGCATCAACAATAACCAGTTCAGTTATAAATAAATAACTTGATGTAAAGTTTATTCCATTTTTTTGTGTGCGCTACATGCGCAGTGCGTCGCTGCGGGAACCGGTACGAAAAATATACCGTTGCCACATCGTCTCGTAAACATGTTGCACATAAATATAGCTTTTTAGTCTCAATAGTTTAAAGTAATAAAATATCTGCAAATCGCGAAATTATTCTAATTTAGAGTAACGGTAGCTCACGAATGCTTTGCAGCTTGTGGGTTCAAACTCTATACTACGTATTTATAAAATCAAATTCATTTTAAGAACAAGAATTGTTAGAGAAGGTATACATGCAATGTTTTATAGGAATTATGACTAAGAAATGAGTTTCCATTTTATCAGACACAAAAAAAATGGCGCCGCATAATAAAAATAACGTGTTTTCAACACGACTCACTGACATTAAAGAATTCGTAGGCAACTTGAGGGACATTTACATGTACCTCGCATACCTTTGCTCGAGTACTTGTGTTTTATTTTCACAAACAACAACTGTGTATTCATCACACATTCGGCAAAGCGAAGGCATTGTTGCCGCACTCGATATTTTAGCAGACGAATTACTCGCATGATACAACCTCGCTCTGTGCCGAACATCGCGATTGTTCCGGCTAAAGTCTGTGTTGCATTTTTATCGCTTATAATGCAACTATATAATGAAAAATAACTTGAATAACATTAACCTTGAAATTATACCAACCTGAGCACAATTTTTCGATACGAACAATAGCGCAACGGTATTCGGTATAAGTCGAGCAAGATCTCACCTGTCGACAAAATGTTGTCAGCCATCTTGATTATCTTATTTCTTACTTATATTATAAATGCAAAAATTATGTACGGCTCGTCGGATATAGATGAAATTTGGTACAAATGTAGAACATAGACTGGAAGTACAGTCAGCGTCATATAGATCGTCACAGACAAGATATGCAAATATATAGGTACACCAAAAGTATTCAATTATATCGGTACAACAAAAGTCCTCAAAATAATAGATACATTCACCCTGCTCAAATACATCGGTGCATACACAGCGTCAAATATATGAGTACATGCAAGATGCTCATATATATCGTAGCAGCCACAGCGTCATAAGTAACGAAGCAGTCAAGGTGCGCAAAAATATCGGTACATTTGACAAAATTGAACTCTATCTCTATATACTTGTGATACAATTTGGAATAAACTACTTCTGTTACATTCATTTGACACTTTGCATCAAACCATTTTTCAAAATTTACTAAAAGTGTTCGACGCGGATGACAGATATTAGGTAGATAAAACCAACAACAAATTTAAGTTTGTCATCATATATGCTAGTTTGGTCTCGTGGCCTTACCGTTCTCCGCCGTTGGTACGTAAGGTCGGCGGTTCAAATCCCAAGCCACTATTTTTTTTTGATATTTAAACTTTTTAATTTTAATATCGAAGCACATGTAATTAAACTCTATCGCCGTAGTTATTAGGTACTTTTTGATATTGCCTTGGACTAATGAGTTTGACCGTTAAAGTACTTTTCTATTTCAAACAAAAATGAAGGAGATAAAGCGATGCATTGTACCGGTAAAAATAACACTTTTACTTTTACCTTTTACTGATACTGATTATATTTAAGAAACAAAGAAAAAAAACTGAATGTCAATATCCAAACAACATCAAATTTTTGGTCGATTGCAATAAACATTCCAGTGTGCGTGGGCGCGCACACATATGTAGATAATTGAAATTGTCGAGCAAAATTTACATTAACAAATTTTTACTGGTTATGAAAAAATAACCCAGTGATTGATAAAATGAAAAAAAAGTAGCCTGAGATTCGAACCGGTAAACTTACATATTACGGCAAACATACTAGAATACTGCGCCAATCTAGTATTATATATATTGTGACAAGGCAAAATTTGATATT